GCGCCCCCGCAACCCCCTCCCGAGCCGGGCAGGTCCCGCGGGCAGGGCTGGGGCTGTTCCTGCTGCCGTCCCGCCCGTCCTGAGCGCGCTGGGCTCTCCCCACAGGCACCCAGGCCCGCTCCTTCTGGCAGCACGATGAGCCCCAGGCGCCCCTGGAGCGCCTCAAGGACATGGTGGACGTGTACCTGGAGACGGTGAAGGCCAGCGGCAAGGATGCCATCGCCCAGTTCGAGGCCTCTGCCGTGGGCAAACAACTGGAGTAAGTGGGGGAGGGCGTGTGGCGGGGGCTGGCAGGGGGTCCCCCGGCGCTGGGCATGACCCCTTCCTGCTCCCCACAGCCTGAAACTGGCTGACAACCTGGACACCCTGAGCGCGGCCGCCACCAAGCTGCGGGAGGACATGGCCCCCTACTACAAGGAGGTGCGTGAGATGTGGCTGAAGGACACCGAGGCCCTGCGCCAGGAGCTGACCAAGGACCTGGAGGAGGTGAAGGTGAAGATCAAGCCCTTCCTGGACCAGTTCTCAGCCAAGTGGACGGAGGAGCTGGAGCAGTACCGCCAGCGCCTGGCACCCGTGGCCCAGGAGCTGAAGGAGCTGACCAAGCAGAAGATGGAGCTGGTGCAGGAGAAGCTGACCCCGGTGGCTGAGGAGGCCCGGGACCGCCTGCGCGCCCACGTGGAGGAGCTGCGCCAGAACCTGGCTCCCTACAGCGAGGAGCTGCGGCAGAAGCTGAGCCAGAAGCTGGAGGAGATCCGGGAGAAGGGCATCCCCCAGGCCTCCGAGTACCAGGCCAAGGTGGTGGAGCAGCTCAGCAACCTGCGCGAGAAGGTGACTCCTCTGCTGCAGGACTTCAAGGAGCGCCTGACCCCCTACACCGAGACCCTCAAGACCCGCTTCATCACCCTCCTGGATGACCTCCAGAAGAAAATGGCTTGAGCCAGGAACTGACCCCGGCCCCATTCCCCACCCTGCCGGGGGTGTTTCCCCCCCGGGGGGGCTCTGGGGACAGGCTGTGGGAGCCCCAGGCCAGGCCAGTCCTCCCTGGGGCCTCCCCTCCTTCCCTCCCGCCACCCCCCCTCCCCGAACCAGCGTCGCTCTCAGCTTTGCCCTCATTTTGTCAAATAAACGTGACTTAAGTTATTGGAGCTCGCTCAGTCTTTGCAGTGGATGCTGGCAGGGGGCAGCGCTGGGGCCGAGGGGTGTTCCAGGGGGTCCCAGTGGGAACTGGGAGGACAGGGAACGGTCAGGGCAGGTACCCTGGGCTCTCCCTGCCCGGGGTGTCACCGGGCTTGGCTTTGCACAAGGGCTGTGTCAGGCGGGGGGGGGGGGGGGGTGTGCACCAAC